ATCGAAATTTTGATCATCATGTCAATCACGAGATTGTTGATCATACCGGCCAATAAAAACAAACTATCCCTATGCTCCGAAACCGGCGGTTCGGTTTCGGTTTGAACCAAACTTTAGTTGCGTTGTTACTCATCCACAAAGCATAAACTCCGGTTTAATCGCACAGCATATAAATAAGAGACTAGTTTTACCACCGTTTTTTTTACTGCGATCGACTCAATCCAACCCTGTTCAAGTAATATCTACTAACATTACGCACAGTACCAATTTACTGGGTGTATCAGTCAAACCTACCAATTAACTGGTAATTAACAATTATTTTTTTTTATTTCATACTTTAAATATTTTACTAATACTATTTAGAAATATATATTAAATAAAATATTTTGAATATCGCAATCTATTACGCAATCTATTATACCGAAGTTATCAAAAGTTATCAAGAGTTATATTTAAGTTATTTAAAATTCAATTTAAATTCAATTTAAATTCAATTTAAATTCATTTAATTTATGGAAAGTCAACAAACCATGATAAATCAACAAGCAACAATTCTAACTTCTCCGGTAGTTGCGAATTGTCAGGGTTCAAACACTATCAACACTATCAATAATACATCTCAAATATCACCACTTCGTTTAAAATCATCAACCACCAAGAATATTGAAACCCTTACACGCCATCCTTTAGAGAATAATGAAGACGAAGAGATTGATGCCAGAAGTAATACTTCCTGGCCGAATCAACGATCACCTTCATTCTCTTCAATTTCTTCGTCGTCTTCATCTTTACAACAAAAATTTTCTTCATCAAATCCTGTATCATTGGGAGGATTAATTTTGGCCAAACTTCGTGAAATGAATAATGATGAAATTCAAGATATTATTCAATTGTTAACCTCCAAAAAGGTATGATATGAAAAATTAAAAATAAAATAAAAATTAATTTCAAAAGAATTGATTGCAGATTAATAATTTATTTAATATTATCCTTTTATTATTTATTATTTCCATTATTTATCAATTATGATATATATATATATATATTTTATTATATATTATTATATATTATTATTATTATTATCTATTAGGCTACACTTTTACTTCCTACCTCACCGTTAATGCCATTTGAAATCGTTGATCGAACACTTCTTCAAGAACATGTAATAATAACTCAAACGAAAGATTATGAGATTAAAGCATTAACATTAAATGGATTAACAGGATTCATTCAACAGTAACTATTTCCAATTTTAATCCAATTTCATATTTCTTATTTATACAGTATACAATATATATATATATATATTATATTATATTTTTACTAATTTTAATAAATGTTTTTATTAAATTTAGAGATATCTTTAAAGTGATAGGATTATTGCCATCAGAAAAATTCAGTTCATTTTCTATCCTGGAAAATCCAAAGAATCGAAAGTTAGTACATAAAATCAACTTCTTACTATTTGATTATTTGATTATTTGAGGATTTGAGGATTTTAATTTTAATTTATTTTATTTTAGATTCATATTTGAGACCTTTACAAAACCAAACGAATCATCATCATTACCATCATCGTATGAATATCCATCGATTAAAATTCTTAATAATAATATTGACGTACTTTTGGATGGAAAAGCTATTCAAGTTATGGCAATTCAATCACCAATAAGATCCAAAGAAATTATTGAACATCTTGAAACAAAGATACCTACGGAATTAAGATTGGAATTAAAATTAAAACTTGAAGGAGTTAATGGAGGAGTAGGAGTAGGAATAGGAGATAGTGGAAGAACAGATTTACCAGGATATATTATAACAGAAATTCAAAGGTGGGTATATAAACAATAATTATAATAATAATGAAAATAACAATGCAACAATAACAACAACAACAACAACAACAACAACAACAACAATAATAATAATAATAATAATAATAATAATAATAATAATTTTAGTTTTATAACAAATTTCTTGAATCAACCACCTCAAAATGAAAATTCAACATGTGAAGAAATTCAAAGATTTTATGAAAATATTCGATATCAATTTGAAGCACAAATTGGATCAACCGAGGAATTGATTGATGCAAATGAAAAGGAAATAGATGAATTTATGAATCTTGTGGAGAAATTCGTGTGTACAGCATTATATGAGCAGTAAGCCACAATTTAAATTAATTAATTAATTAATTTTTTACAAACTTTCTTCAATATATATTTTATTAAATTTTATATATCATATGTCAAAATTATATATATATATTTGTATGATATTTTATTTATAGAATATTTTGTCCCCAATGGTCAGATGATAGTATTCAAGATGAAAATTTAGAATCACAAATAGCGGCATTAAATCTTTTGGGATTAAATCTTTCACATTTGGGAGTTAAAATTACAAATCATCAAGAATATATAGATTTTACCGTAAAATTGGCTGGTACAGAATTACAAAGTTTAGATAAAAAGAAATCACCTTATGAAAAACTTGATAATATTGTTCAATGTCATAGAGTAATTGTTGGTAAATATATATATATATATATATAAAATATATAATATATATATAATATTTGAATTTTTCATAATTAATTTATTAAAATATTAAGTTTATTCTAATGAGATTTTTTTTTTTAATAATTTTTTTATAAAGATGCACTTGAGAATAGATTAATGAATGGTAGATCAAATGCCGACACAGAAAATTCTTCAACAACAACATCTACAGTTACAACTTCACCTATATCTTCAACTACATCCACATCTTCTACTTCCATTCCTTCTATTAATACTAATACAAATACTACACAATTAACAACCAATTCACTACCTAATAATAATCCTAATTCACAACTTAATAATAATCCTAATTCATCACCTAATTCATTACCTAATTCACCACCTACTTCACCCACTTCTTCTTTATCGGAAGGTAAACATGATGGTGGTGATCCTAATGCGGATGCTATTTTGCCTCTTTTAATATATATAGTAGTTAAATCTAATCCTAAAAAATTGGTATCGAATTTAAGGTAATTTATTTATTGTTATTTATTATTATTATCGTAGTTTATTTATTTTATTTTATTTTGTAATTATTTTGTTATTATTTTGTTATTATTTTGTTATTATTTTGTTATAATTTTGTTATCATATTGTTATTATAGATTCATGCAACGATTTCGAATACGAAACTTTTTGCGTGGAGAATCATCATATTGCCATACTAACATTGTATGAGAAATATATATTTAATTTTTATTTTATTTTTTTTTTTAAATTATTTATTTTATTCAGTTATCAAATATTTATTATTTATAAATATTCTATTTTTATTCACTGTTTTTATTTATTTTATTTTATGTTATTTTATTTTATTAGTTGGCCGTAGCCACATTCTTAGAGAATGTGGATTACAAAGGATTAGGATTATCACCAGATAAAGTATTTAGGTGCGTAATTACATAGTATATCACACAAAAAAAAAGACATAATAAATCTATTTATTCTTTTGTCATCTATCTTATCTATCTATTTCATATATATAGGGAACCAATTATATCAAGTGATAATAATAATAATATAAATAATATAAATAATATAAATGGTTTAAATAATAATAATAGTAATAATCTTAATAATAATAATAATACAGTAGATCAACATAAAGTTAGCCGTAATGTTGGACAAGAACTTGCTGATAGTAGTTTAAAAGTTATTACAGGAGTTATGGATACTTCATATAAAATGATTGGTCGAGTATTTGGATATAATGAAAATAATAATAATAATAATAATAATAATAATCCAACAGATTCCAATAATAATAATCTTCATTATTCCACTTTGGATAATGATATTATTAATGATAATTTATCATCAAATTTATCAACAACAACAAAAAATAATAATAATGACAATAATAATAGTAATAATAATAATAATAGTAATAATAATAATGATAGTAATAATAATCATAATAATAATAATAATAATAATAATAATGATAATAATAATAATAATAATATTAATAGTAGTAGTAATAATAATAATTATCATCATCATAATAAGGATTACCATTTGAAAAAGACCAAAGTTAATGATATTGTAGTAAATTCCGAAAAATCTACTGAAATAATAGTAAGAGAATTAGCTGAATTTAATTCCAATACCAAAAATAATAATAATAATAATAATAATAATAATAATAATAATAATAACAATAATAATAATAATAACAATAATAATAATAATAATAATAATATTGAAAAAAGAATTAATGGGAATATCACAAATAAAGTTATGAAGATTAACGAATCGAAATCGCTGTAAGTTTATTTCCATATTCATATTCATTTTCATTTCCTTAATTCATTTTCATTTCCATATTCATAATTCATTCTCATTTCCATAATTCGTTTTCATTTCATTTTCATTTTCATAAATCGTTTTCATTATTCATTTAGAACTGAGCGATTATTACCTTTCAATGTATTACCACCTCGATTCACTAATAATTCTGAATATGTAATGTTTTGTTCTATTTTATTTTATTTTATTTTTATATTATAATTTTATATATAATATATATATAATTTTTGCTAATTTATTAAATAATTCTACATATACATATACACTCATATATATATATGTATATATTTTAAAAGTCAAATAAAGTAATAAATAATGAAAAGACGATTCATGAAAAGATGGCACCTCCGATTCAACGATTTTTGGATTGTCCAAATGAAGAATTTCGTGTATCTGATGTACCCGGTAAACAATATTATTTATTTAAATGAATGATTATTTATATTACTGATTATATTACAAATTATATTAAAGATTATACAAATATATATTAATATATATTAATTATTTTAATGATATAGAGCTCTTGTCGGATTATAAACGGTTATCATCTGTCATGCGGGAACTTGGTCTTTTTTCATAAATTTATATAAATTATATAAATTGTGAATTTTTTCCAAATATATTGAGAGATATATACATTTTTTTTTTATTTTTTGAATATTTTTGTAAATATGATTATTATAAACAAGGAGTAAATTAATTTTTTTTTTTTTTTTTTATATTTATTTTATTTTTGCATAAATACATGTTTTATATACAACATCAGCGAATTTACTCCATTCTTTTGAAAGTTGTAGTTTTATTTATTAATTTATCAACAATAGAAACTTATAAATAAAATTCCACTATATATATATATATATTGACTAGAATTATGTCCAGAATTATCTTTAATTTCTTAATGCGAGTCAAAAATGTCCAAAAATGTAAAAGATCAGAAACGTATAAAGTACCATTGTTAATCACACAAAAAAAATAAATCTTATTTTCTTTGTAAACGTCAAAATATTTGACATTTTTCTTTTTTTTAAAAAAATAAAATTCAACATGGCGATGGCTGCGTCTGCAAAAAACCGGAATGTAAGTAAATCAATTTTTTTTGAATACTTTATTTTTGATTTATTTACAAAGTACAACTAAACATTGATATTATTATTTTATTATATTTTTTTTAGGCCCGGTTACCACCCGAAGTTAATCGGGTATTATTTGTTAGAAATCTTCCTTTTAATATTACTTCTGAAGAAATGTATGATATCTTTGGAAAATATGGGGCTATACGACAGATTCGATTGTAAGTTATTAGCAACGATCAGTAGTAATTTATCATGTTTGACCATTTTTAAAATTTAATAATAATATTTTGATTCATTATTATATCAGAGGAAGTGATAAAGAAACTCGTGGAACAGCTTTTGTTGTTTATGAAGGTAAATTTTTTAAATAATAAAATTACGTAAATTATGATAAATCAACGATAAATCATATTTATTATATTTATTATATTTATTCGTTTAACGTTTAGATATCTTTGATGCAAAAGCTGCATGTGATCATCTCAACGGATTTAACGTAATGGGTCGATATCTTATAGTATTGTATTATCAACCTAATAAAGTTACAAAGAAGATGAACTTACAAAAGAAAGAAGAAGAATTAAAAGAATTGAAAAGGTAAATTCTAAGTAATTCTAAGATTTATTTATTGTTAAACATTTTTATTAATAACTTTTTTTTTATATTATTAGTCGATATGGAATATCAGATTCGGATTAAATGATTAAATGATTAAATATTTGTATTATAATTAGACAGAATTCTTTTTTTTTTTTTTTTTTTAAGGTAGAGAAACTTATTTAAAAGTTTTTCTCGTTTATAATAATTAATCAACATTATAATTAGAAAATTTTATTAAAATTATTATATTCAACAATTACATCATCATTAATAAGTATATATTAGAAAAAAAAAGTAATTACAAAATATAAATAAATAATATATTCGAGAGAAGAAATTAACCAAAATTTAAGAATGTTAAATCGAAACTTGGTTCCCCAATAACATAATGGGAAATAACATTAATAAAATACAACTCGAGTCAACTAATATTTCTTTTCAACTTCAGAGATATTGTATTGAAACAGCAGGATACACATTAATGCAACCAGTCTTTGATATTTTCGGTAACAATCCTGATCAAAATTTTATTCATGTACTTGTAGTGCCATTACCAAAATCAGAAAATAATTATTGAATTGCGATGTATTTTTTATTTGTATGTTGCTTCTGCTTTGACAACGGTTTTTTATATTAATAAAGTTGGGCCTCATGGCCATGTTCATTTGTTTCAACTTTGAATTAACGCCTACAATTAAACCTATATATTCCTAATCAAACATCACATTTCTGATTATGCCCAATAAGGAAATATACGTGTTCTGCAAGAATCATGAAGGTCCCAGGGGGTAGGTCCCAGCACCAGCATAAACTGGCTCTTTAGATGTAACAGTAAGATAGCGAAGTAGTATATTGCAAGCACCGTTGATATCCCGATCAAGCTCAGCTGTACAACTTGGGCAACGAAACACTTTGGATCCACCCAATTTTCGATGGATATAACCACAGCACCCACATGTCTTACTGGTATATTCTTCAGTACATATAATTACCCGACACCATGGATATTCATGAACTTTATGTAGAAGATATTGGCGGAATCGGAAGTGGGACCATGTTAACATCATCCGTGCAGTCTTAGAACAAATCCACCATTTTCCACGCCTAACCATTCCCTGTGTTTTAAACTCGGACAACAAAATAATATAATAACTTTGACACAGCCATTTGGCAAGTTTATGGTGACAATCATTAATAAGACGACGGATTTTTTTAGTATACGAAGCGTGACCCTGCGAAGTTTATAGCGTTTTCGTTTGTGTACTTTTCCATGAATAGAGTCATGTGTGCTTTGAATCTTGTCATATATGTAAGAAAGCTGATAAATTCTACTAATATCATTTTTGCCCCATTCTACAGCTTGTCCACTTGGATTGTATCCAGTTATAAATGTTTGCACACCTGGATCTAGAGCGATCACTGCATCTGATTGTGTAGAAACTTGATTTTTGGCCCATATCTCGAGTGGTTGAGGAATACAAAGATAAAATTCTCCAAGCCAATTCATCACAAGTCATGCATCGTAATGGAGCTCTGCTAGGAGATTTTTAGCTGACTTCATCTTACAAAGAAATGTATAAACTCCTTTAGATTTACCCCAATGTTTTGATAGAATTGCAATAGATTGTTGTTGATCTTTCTTAGAGTGAAATTTCATCTTAAATTTCACCTGTTTTGAAGCAAAATTTGATGAATATGATTTAAGTAAATTATTCATCACTTCATCACAAATATCGTAAGGAGTTTCAAGGACCCATTGAAGTTCGGTATTATTGAAGTTTGCAGCGTTGAGACACTGTGCTCGTAGAGCTTTTTTTGTCCACTCAATACCTTCTTTTTCAACTGCTATGAGATACCAATTGTAAGTCCATTGTGCTATTCCCATCCAGTGTTTGAGTTTCGACTTCTTCTCTTGCATATGAAAGAGACGGATACATTGTGTCTTGCCTGCTGGAATCTTGGAGCTCTTGTTCTTCTTGGGCTTTGACAACTTCTCATCTTCTTCTGGAATACAATTCATTATGTCTTGCTACAAATACCATGATGATTGAGAGTAAGTTTTTCGCAAGTTTTCTGACTTCACTGATATCCGTACTGAGTACCATGAGCTGAGTTCCATTTTTCTCAAAGATCCATTCCACAAGCTCAGATCCAAATTGGCACAATCAGTTCTAATAAAAAAAGTTAGTAAAATAATAAAGGCAATAAAAATCAGAGTAAATAAAAAAAAATTAAACCTTTCGGATAATCACCACTTTGATTCCTTCTGTGTGTTGTTACCTCTGATTTTATCTTTTATTTTTATTAATTATTTATATATTTTATTATTATATATTTTATCGTATATGTATTATTTTACTATTAGTTATTATATATTTATTTCTTATTATTATATATAGTATTACAGTAGATCAATTTAATAGTCTGTAGTACAAATTAGATATTATTACTTAAATTAGTAAATTCCTAAATTCTTGTTAATCTGTAACACTAGAACACAAATTAGAGTACAAGTTAATATCTTAGTTAAAGTACAAGTTAAATTAACAGTTAAGGTATATCAGGAATTTTTATATAACATTCTATAACCACTGGTCGAAATAAGAAATATCAGACACTTATTGTATGCCTATCGGATTTCTGATAGGTATATGATAGGTGTCCAATATTAACAATTATGTAATATATCAGGTATCCAATTGGTAAGGTTGAAATGTAAAAGTTTGAACACTTATCAGATCTATATCAGTTTCATATTGGATATTAATATTTTGATATTTTATTCAAATTCATCATTCATATATTGGGTACCCAATTTTATTTATTTTTTTATCAGATATATATCTTTTATAAATTAGCCATAGTAGATCCTTATATATTAAACACAGTATATCTCTGTGTATCAGATAATTTTTTCCCTCTATTGGATATCTATTGGTACCTTTTATTTATATATATATATTTTCACTTTTTTTTATTTATAAATAATCATAATTTTAGTTTATTATAAAAAAAGATAATAAAATGAAATATATTTATTATGAAAAATATAAAATGAAATATATTATATATACTATATAAAATATTTATATTTAAATCTATCTAATTATTTTTTTCTTTTTTTTTTGATTTTTTCTTTTTTTCTTTTTTTTTTCCTTTTTGTTTTCTTTTTTTATTACTAGTTTCTACTTTATGATTATTATTATCTTTCTATTTTCTTTTTTTACTACTTGTTCCTACTTCATAATCATTATTGTTATTACTATTATTATTACCATCATCTTGGTCAGTGGTGTACCTAGGTCATAGATTGGAATAATTCTATTTTCCTACTTTAATTTTCTAAGTGCTACTATATTTAATATCCAAATTGAAATGTTTTTTGATATTTTTACTTCTGTTAGTATATGTTGTGAAAATTTGATTTTGATTTTTGACACTTTCAGTGGTTTGCACACAATATCAATTGCTGGTCAATTCTTTTATGCAGTAACTTTTTTAACTATAAAATATTATTTATTAATATTATACCTAATAGATATAAAATATTATTACCATTGATCTATTTACTAAATCAGATCATCACCATTTATCTTTAATAAAAATCAATATTATTATTTTACGTAAGTGGGTAGCAGTGGTGGCAGTAGTGGCAACTATATATATCTCCAAAATTAAAAATTCAAAATCTGACTTCGGTTAGTTTAAAATAACCCTGAAATTGAATTCTGAAATTCAAAGATGAAAATATTTACGGGGGTCAAAATTATTATGGGGGACAAAATTTAGTGTAACTCCAGTTGAAATCAGCATTTCAACGGGAGACGAAATAGTTATGAAACTCCAAAATTATAGATCTATAGATTTTTTTTTAAAAAAAATAAAGCTTAGAGATTATGCAGGTGATCGCAAAATGGCGCAGGCTTTTTTTTTCTTTATTATTATTTTTTTAATAAATAATTTCCATATCTTTTTACCTCTTAATTTACCCTTTTACCTCTTCTTAACTTACCTTTCTATCTCTTCTTAACTATACGTGTTGCCCAAATCCCAAATCATTTGGGATTTGGGACGCCAAAATCCCAAATTACTAGTATTTGGGAT